TAAAAGTGTTGTTGAGCTTGCACTACAAAAAAGTGACATTTGTGGAATGTGCATAGAAAGCATGGAACAAGACTCAGCCTTCACCTGTTGTTTTCTGGTGCCTTTCCCATGAGGCAGTTGTATGGCTGCCCCATTGATAGAGGACCTTGTAAGTGATGTTGCTGAATGCTGCTGCTTGCATTTCCTGGGGTGCAGTTTAAAAAGCTCCTAGAGTCACCTGCAGACTGAACTCTTGAGCAGACAAAGCAGTTTAGCTTGCAATAGGCAGACATGACCAGTACATTGTTAAGATATTATTACCATATTAATGAAACTCCAGGAGGCAGAGCAGACAAAACATTACTGTACCCCAAGCATGTTTTCTTTTGAGAGCATTTTTTTCTGATACATAAACCAGTAACTGGCAGTTTCAGCAGATGTCCCCAAAATGTGCACCCTAAATGAGCTGGTGGACATGTTGAACAATTCATATAACAAAGCATTGCTATAAAATTGCCCACTTTAGTAAAAATGGAATTTATCCAAATGGTTTGTCCTGCATATAGTACCGTTCACTTTCTAGGATTCCTTTTGGTGAATACATAGAACCTATCAGACCTTCTATTCTAGCTTCAAGAAACAACCAGAAGGCTGCAATTTATCCTAAAGGTGAAACTCTTACTGAATCCAACAGCAATGTATTATAAAAAAACATGTATTATATAGCTAGGCAAGTCTCCAGACTCAACAAAATAGCATTGTATGCTAGCACAGCCAGTACACAGATATATACACAAAATGTTGACTTTGCTTCTCTAGCTAAAAAAATCACCTATTTCTTACCCATACCCATGTGCCAGCAGAGCCAGATTAATAAGACACAAGACCATAGGTAGGTAGGATATCAACTTCAGGACCATCAAAAGCACGTTCCACAATTGCTGAAACCTCTACCCTCAATATTTCTCCTTTGTACTCCTCTGATTCCAATTTGTCAACCTCCTGTATTATATATCGTAATAGATTATATCTTCTACCTTCTGTGTTACTCATATATTCTAACAGATTGGGGGCAATTCAATGAAGCTGCTGCGCCAGTTTCCTGGCATTATTCCCTTTTAACTCCTTCATGTCGCCAGCCACCGACCCTTTAAGTGGATCAAAGTGCCATGAGGCAGAGGCAGGCTTTCTGATCATGTGTCAAGTGTCACAGCAGTCACTTGACTGGAAAGCTCCCAATTGCAAGTATGTATCAAGAGCTTTCCAGGACATGTTAGTTAGTATCCTGGGAGCAGTCTCAGCACAGTAAAATGTTTACATTCAAACGCATATATGTGATCACTTGGCATTAACGTGATATTAAAGGTTCAGCTTTAAAAAAAAAAATAACAAGCATATCATACTTACCTGCTCTGTGCAATGGTTTTGCACAGAGCAGCCCCGATGCTCTTTTCAGGTCCCCCACCAGCACTCTTGGCTCCTCCACCTTGACCAGTGCCCCTTGCATGCTCACTCCCAAGCCCTGCTCCATACGTCCAAAACATAGTTACATAGTTAGTCTGGCTGAAAAAAAAGACAAAAGTCCATCCAGAACCAAAAAAAAAAAAGTTATTCTATACCCACAGTTGATCCAGAGGAAGGCAAAAAAATACAGCAAAGCATGATCCAATTTGCTCCTGCAGGGGAAAAAATTCCTTCCTGATCCCCCGAGAGGCAATCCTTTTTCCTATAAATGTTAGTAGCCAGCTATATTCTGTGCATCCAAGAAAGAATCCAGGCCTTATTTTAAAGCAATCCACTGAGCTGGCCAGAACCAACTCTTGAGGGAGTCTATTCCACATTTTCACAGCTCTTATTGTGAAGAAACCTTTCCATATCTGGAGATTAAATTTCTTTTCCTCCAGACGTAAAGAGTGCTCCCTTGTCCTCTGTGATGACCTCAAGGTAAATAACTCTACACCGAGTTCACTATATGAACCACTGATGTATTTATACATGTTGATCATATCTCCCCTTAATCTCCAATTCTCAAGAGAGAATAAATTCAATTCCTCTAATCTTTTCTCAGTTCTGAGTTCCTCCATGCCTCTTATCAGTTTGGTTGCCCTTCTCTGTACTTTCTCCAGTTCCCCAATGTTCTTTTTGTGAATTGGTGCCCAAAATTGAACTGCGTATTCCAGATGAGGTGCCACTAATGATTTGTAAAGGGGTAAAATTGTATCTCTTTTTCTGGAGTCTATACCTCTGTTAATACAAGAGAGGATTTTGCTCGCTTTAGAAACCGCAGCTTGGCATTGCATGCCATTATTAAGCTTGTGATCTACCAGAACTCTCAGATCCTTCTCCACCATTGACTTCCCCAGTTGTACTCACCCTAGTATGTATGATGCATGCATATTCTTAGCCCCCAAGTGCATAACCTTACATTTATCAACATTAAACCGCATTTGCTCTAGTTGCCCAATTAAGCAGTGCATTGAAGTCGGCTTGTATGTTGGAAACATCCTGTAAGGATGTTATTCCACTGCAAAGCTTGGTGTCATCTGCAAAGACTGAAATGGTATTTTTAATCCCAGACCCTATATTGTTTATAAATATTATTAAAAAGTAAAGATCCCAACACTGAACCTTGGGGTACACCACTGACGACCCTAGACCATTTAGAGTGTGAATCATTAACCACTACTCTTTGAATACGATCTTTTAGCCAGTTTTCTATCCATTTACATACGATTTTTTCAAGCCCGTAGACGTTACCTTACACATTAGCCGTGTGTGGGGAACTATGTCAAAAGCTTTTGCAAAATTCAAGTATACCACGTCCATAGCCACCCCTCTGTCCAAGTTTTTGCTCACCTTCTCATAAAAAGAAATCAGATTTGTTTGACAACTTCTGTCTTTCAAGAATCCATGCTGTCTGTTGCTTAAAATATTTATTTCCAGCAAGAACTCATCTATGTGGTCTTTTATTAATCTCTCCAGTATCTTCCCAACTATAACAGTTAAACTAACAGGTCTATAATTATTACGCCAATCCAGTGGTACTATGCCAGTCATTAAGGAGTCCCTAAAAATTAGAAACAATGGCTTTGAAATGACGGAGCTCAATTCTTTAAGGACCCGTGGATATATGTCATCCACGGTCCAGGTGCTTTATTCACCTTTATTCTGTCTAAATATTTCTGGATCATATCAGTTGTGGATCATCTGGTGCTGTGTCAATACCATGCCCATTATGAACAAGAGCTCCCCCATGCTGCTTTGTATACACAGAGCTGAAGGAAGGTATTTAAGAAATTTGCCTTCTCTTTATCCCCAGTCACCCACACTAGATTATTATGTAAAGGGCCTACATGCTCAGACCTGACCTTTTTACTATTAATATATTTGAAGAAGTTTTTGGGGGTTTATCCTGCTATCTTTTGCAGGCCTTTTTTCATTTTTGTGGCCTTTTTTCCTTTTTGCATATTCTATTATATTCTTTGTAATGTTTAAACAATGATAGCGTTCCCTCATTTTTATATTTAATAAAAACTCTTTTTTGTTATTATTTATAGCTTTTTTAACTTAGGCCACAAGCCACATAGGATTGATTTTTAGCCTTTTAAACTTGTTGCCCATGGCAATATATTTTGAAGTGTGTTCACATACAGTCTTTTTGAAGAACTCCCATTTCTGTGTTATGTTCATTGATGCCAATATTCCCTCCCAGTCTGTCTTGGAGAGCATCCCTCAGCCTTGGAAAATTGGCTCTCTTAAAGTTGAGCGGTTTTATTTTTCCCATATGTGTTTGATGTTTACAGCTAACAATAAATTAAGTCATGTTATGGTCACTGCTACCCAGATGTTCTTTTATGTGGACATTCATATTAAGCTCTGCATGGTTTGAGATTGCCAGGTCAAGCAGAGCATCATTCCTAGATGGGGCCTCTATGAACTGTACCATAAAATTGTCATGTAGTAGGTTTATAAATTTTTGCCCTTTAACTGTTCCTGCAGTACCATTACTCCAGTCAAATTCCAGGTAGTTAAAATCCCGCAATATTATCACTGTCCCAGTCCTTGCAGCCCTTTTGATCTGTGCAAGTAGCTGAGTCTCCACCATAAGACACAAAGCCGTGACTCGGCACTGCACCCTCTCTCCTCACTGGCTGTGATTGACAGCAGTGGGACCCAATGGCTCCCTTTGCTGTCTCAGCCAAAGAGGAGAGGGAGTCGCGGGACAGCTGAGGCTCCCGCACACATCGCTGGATTGAGAGGGGGCTCAAGTGAGTATTAGGGGGGGCTGTGGGGGAATAACACCCAGAAGGTTTTTTTTACCTTCATAGATAGAATGTATGAAGGTAAAAAACCTTCAGCCTATACAACCACTTTAAAGCGCATCCTTCCAAGAGCCTGCATATACCGTATTTTTCGCTCCATAACGCTCACTTTTTTTCCCCCCAAAAAATGGGGGGAAATGTCTGTGCACCTTATGGAGCGAATATTGACCAGGACTCCACCCCCCTCCACCACTGTATTAGAATACTGGGCCAGCCGCTCGACTCTTCTATTCCAGAAAAGAGGAGGAGTCCGAGTCAGCAGTGCAGCAGCGCCAGGCAGGGCCCAAAGCAGCTGCCCCTTAAAGCGGAGTTCCAGCTGAAAAAACAAAAGTCTGCAGCTACAAAAACTGTAACTGCTGACTTTTAAAATACAGCTACTTACCTGATCCTCGGTCCAGCAGTGTCCTCACCACCGCTGGTTTCACCGGCCATCTTCTCTCCCTGGCGCTGGCATCTTTAGTGTGTACCTGGCTGTGACAGCTTGCGGCTTCACAGCAGGGTGCCCACTGTGCATGCACGAGAAGCGCTGCACTTTGTGAATGGCCCCATAGTCTTCTGGAACCTGTCATGTGTCTAGGCAATCGCACCCCCCCCCCCCCCAAAGGTGCCCATCCTTAATGGGGAGTGGGGGTAAAAGCATTAAAGCGGAACTTCCCCTTTTGGGTGGAAGCCTGCACCACCCTTAGATTGGGGCCTCAATCACTGCACTGCAGAGCCGTCAGGGTACGCTGAAGACATCGTTGTGTGCCCAGCCCTCAGAGAGGATGCTGAGCATGGCTGGCCAGGTATGTCCTCCCCCTCATAGACTTCCTGTGGACTACTTTACCAAATTGTATATATGTGCATTGCTGAAAGGTCTCTGTTCATCCCCTGTACTATGTCTGCAGTCTCTGGTCATTCCCTGTACTATGTCCGCAGTCTCTGGTCATCTCCTGTACTATGTCTGCAGTCTGCAGTCATCTCTACTGTCCGCATCTCTGGTCATCTCCTGTACTATGTCCGCAGTCTCTGGTCATCTCCTGTAGTACATCTGCAGTCTCTGGTCATTTCCTGTACTATGTCTGCAGTCCATTGGTTCAGAATATTTTTTTTCTTGTTTTTTTCCTCTAAAACCTAGGTGCGTCTTATGGTCAAGTGTGTCATGGAGCGAAAAATACTGTATGCGTTCGGACGATGGGAAAAGGTTAATGTGTTAAGTAAAATTCATGAAGCATCTGCAAAATGTTAGCTTCTGATGCAACTCCTGCACCAAACTCATGTAGTTCCAAAATGCGCCACTTTTACTTTGTGGCCTAATGCCTATGCCAATTCAAAAATAAAAAACCAACAGTTTGTATCTTACGAAAGTGGACCTAATTAAGGCCAACTCTCTTTTGGTGTACAGAGAGAGAGCATGACTTAGGCAGATTTTGCAAAACTGTCTCACTAAAGGTGGCACAGCGTGCACAAAATTCAAGTACAGATCTAGACAGGTGCATAAATGTGGGACATGCTGGTCCACTTTTAAAACACATGAGAGACACTTTCGCAAAATCTGTCTGTGCCAGTCTATTTGAGTTCCAGGGATTATTACTTCTTCCTTCTGCCCCAATCTGTTATATAGTTAAAGACTGTAAGCTCTTTAACCTTCTGTATTCCCCATTATACCCTTATATGAAACTCTTTCAGCCCCTATGTCCTCACCCATACCAATTATACATTATATATTGCTCCCTGATGCTGATGCAGATTGACTTAATTTCAGCAGTGATATAATGTGTAGATTATTTAGAGCCTTTGATAAGAGAATATTGATAGAGTTATAGACCTGGCAGGAAACTAAGGAAGATCCTAGGTAGTTAGGTAAGAACTGGATTTCAAATAATTGTTCTTCTAAGTTTCTTTCCCCAGCCTGTTAAGGAAAGGTTTTAGTGCTTACTATGTGAGTTGTTATGACCCCCTTTCAAATGTTTAACATGAAAAAACAAACTCCCCAAAGATGATATTAGTCATACAAAGTCTAATGATACAGACTAGGTTACTTATATACATTTTAAATTGTCACGAAGCAATAAATGCAATTGTTTTGCAAAAATTCTATCTTACCGTCTTAAAAAAAAAAGTGCATTCAAATTGGTCATTTATTTTGGCTGCTAGCAAGCAATATTTACCCTTGAATTATGAATATGTATTTGGGTTTTCTATGCTGCAGTGAAAGATTTTGAATTTGACAGTGTTACATCCATTTTTTTCTGTTGGAACACAACAGACAACATAATGTTTTATTGATACCACCACTTTAAAAAAAAGACAAAATAACATTGTATCCTGGGTTCCTCTGGCCTGACCCTACTTGTCGGACAGAAGTCATACACTAACGCTACATTTGTCAGAGAGCCAGAGTAACATCTTGAGGCTAGGAAATGAGAGCCTGTGCAATGGCTTAGCAGAGATTTGGCAGGCTGAGTGCATCAGACTCAAGCAGGAGACGTTGGTGCATTTCCCAGTGCTGTCAGCCAGGGATCATTGGCATAGAGCTGGCAGACTACTAGGTCTTGACATTCCAGGCGATGGGATTGATTTGGACAGAGAACCTTGCTCACAGGAGACAACAAGCTTGAAGAAAGAGTAATATTCTCACAGACACGTATCACACATGAGCTGCCAAAGAGCTTTGGCAACAGAGCTCAAGTAGTAGCACTGTAAGTACCTGTAAGTGCTTCCAGGCCTGTAATGGCTTCAGTTATGGTTATGTTCAACAAGAGATTGCAAAGCAGAACAGAGAACAGGAAAAAAAAACTGGAAATAATGTCTATTGCATGGATACTTAATGTGGCTTTTTACATTTTATTTAAAGGATAAGTACAGTCAAAGCTCTTTTGACTGTATTTCTCCTGTGGATCACAGGAGTGCAATTCATTCTGTACTCCTGTGACCCATTTTCAGGCAACAGCGGGCTAAATCCTGCTGTCGGCTGAAGTCACAGAGGCGGTCTAGCCTGGGGAAAGTTCACAACCATATGGTGGGGATCCACCCAGGAGCCTGGACCAGCATTTGGCTCAGCCTCTCAGAGAGCAGCTGAGAGCCTGAGCCAGCCACTCCTGCCTCCCCCAGAGAAGAGAGAAGAAGACTAACAGGCCTGACTCTCTGTTTGGAGTGGCAGAGAGAACTGAGCGACCAGTGGTCTTAGCCTTAGAGCCGGCCGGGGACAGATGCAGCATTGAAGCGATGCTGCATCCACCTAAGTATAGTATATAAAAATATAAACATGAAAAGGGAGCCCTTTGCTTAATAGTACTGCACAGTGAATATGCTTGATTGTATTTCTCTGTAAGTGCAATTCTATGGATCAGGTGTGACCTGACTGTCTTGCATTGCCCAAGTCCATTGACTTGCCACAATGTGTGGCAAATGTGGGACAATGGCACATTAACAGTGATACTTACTTATCCATTTAGGAAGAAAAGAATCAGGCCTGTCCTCAAGGATATTTTCCAACAAATAAGAACACAGTGGATATAAAAAGTTTACACACCCCTCTTAAAATGTCAGGTTTCTGTGATGTAAAAAAATGAGACTGTGATGTAAAAAAATGAGACAAAGACAAATAATTTCAGAACTTTAATGTGACCTATAAACTGTACAACTCAATTGAAAAACAAACTGAAATCTTTTATCTTTTTTTTTTTGGGGGGGGGGGGGGTTAAACATACAAAAATAAAATAATGTGGTTGCATAAGTGTGCACACCCTCTTATAACTGGGGATGTAGCTGCATTCAGAATGAAGCAAGCACATTCAAAATTATGCTAAATAGGAGTCAGTACACACCTGCCATCATTTAAAGTGCCTTTGATTAACCCCAAATAAAGTTCAGCTGTTCTAGTAGGTCTTTCCTGACGTTTTCTTAGTAGCATCTTACAGCAAAAGCCATGGTCCGCAGAGAGCTTCCAAAGCATCAGAGGGATCTCATTGTTAAAAGGTATCAGTCAGGAGAATGGTACAAAAGAATGTCCAAGGGAATAGCTATACCATGGAACACAGTGAAGACAGTCATCATCTAGTGGAGAAAATATGGAGCAACAGTGACATTACCAAGAACTGGACGTCCCTCCAAAATTGATGAAAAGACGAGAAGAAAACTGGTCTGGGAGGCTGCCAAGAGGCCTACAGCAACATTAAAGGAGCTGCAGGAATATCTGGCAAGTACTGGCTGTGTGGTACATGTGACAACAATCTCCCGTATTCTTGATATGTCTGGGCTATGGGGTAGAGTGGCAAGACGGAAGTCTTTTCTTACAAACAAAAACATCCAAGCCTTGCTAAATTTTGCAAAAACACATCTGAAGTCTCCCAAAAGCATGTGGGAAAATGTGTTATGGTCTGATGAAACCAAGGCTGAACATTTTGGCCATAATTCCAAAAGATATGTTTGCCGCAAAAACAACACTGCACATCACCAAAAGGACATTATACCCACAGTGAAGCATGGTGGTGGCAGAATCATGCTTTGGGGCTGTTTTTCTTCAGCAGGAATTAGCGCCTTAGTCAAGGTAGAGGGAATTATGAACAGTTCCAAATACCAGTCAATATTGGCACAAAACCTTCAGGCTTCTGCTAGAAAGCTGAACATGAAGAGGAACTTCATCTTTCAGCATGACAATGACCCAAAGCATACATCCAAATCAACAAAGGAATGGCTTCACCAAAAGAAGATTACAGTTTTGGAATGGTCCAGTCAGAGCCCAGACCTGAATCCAATCGAGTGTTTTTTCAAGGAAGAGTGGGCAAATATTGCCAAGTCAAGATGTGCCATGCTGATAGACTCATACCCAAAAAGACTGAGTGCTGGAATAAAATCAAAAGGTGCTTCAACAATGCATTAGTTTAAGGGTGTGCACACTTATGCAACCATATTATTTTTGTTTTTTATTTTTACTTTCCTCCACCTAAAATATTTCCGTTTGTTGTTCAACTGAGTTGTACAGCTTATAGGTTACATTAAAGGTGGAAAAAGTTCTGAAATTATTTATCTTTTACATCACAGAAACCTGACATTTTAACAGGGGTGTGTAGACTTTTTCTATCCACTGTATGTGTGCAAGTGCTTCTGATGACTGCAGATGCTTGTTTTCCCCTTTAATGAGGCCATAGCTTGTTTATAGCAGGAACAACATTAACCCACGGATCTTTGTTACACAAGGTAGGGTGGAATTATCACAGTATCACGTTAAGTGCATGGTCCAGCCAACACGTACATTTCAGTTTTGAGTGAGAGTAAACACATCATAGGAATGAAATTGTGAAGATCTCACCATCAGTTATCAGTTCTTACACGATGATAATTCAACCCTACCATTGATAGCAATCATTTATGAATGTATCAATATAATATGTATTGAGTTTACAGGAATTAAAACAAATTATCAATTGATGCTTTAGAATTTCATTATTTTATGATAAAATGAATTGGTAGAGTAGGTGAGGTTGGCAGCATTTTAGAGGGTACAAAAGAGTAAAATAAAGGTCACAGGATAAGTTTCATACATCTTCTTTTTTTTTTAAGTAAGTTTAGGATGTGCAGTAATAGTAGTTTTGACTGATTTCAGGAAGAAGAAGTGCTTTACACAAGAAATGTGATGGGAACAAGACATGTGACTGGGGCATTTTGCTGGGGTGATAGTACTCGAATGATACTTAATGCGGAGTTCCACCCAAATGTGGAACTCCGCTTATCTGCCTCCTCTCCCCCCTCCGTTGACACATTTGGCACCTTTTGGGGGGGAGCAGGTACCTGGTTTAAACAGGTACCCACTCCCACTTCCGGATCAGTTCGCCACGACACTTAACCACTTGCCCTCCTGAGGATTTACCCCCCTTAATGACCAGGCCTCTTTTTGCTACTCGGCGCTGCACTAATTCAACTGATAATTGCGCGGTCATGCAATGCTGCTTCCAAACGAAATTTACGTCCTTTTTTCCCCACAAATTGAGCTTTCTTTCGGTGGTATTTCATCGCCTGTGCGTTTTTTTATTTTTTGTGCTATAAAATAAAAAGGCTGAC